CCCATCCGGGTCCTCGTTACACTCCGCTGCCGGACGCCGCGCCCGGGCTCCCCCAGCTCCCCGCCGCTCCAAACACATACTCGCCCCAAGTCTTTGCAAGGTGCTGGTTCTGCAAACGCAGCTCCCGACAGCTCGCTCGGCGGCCTTCACCCCCAAACCGCTGCCCCGAGCCCCCCTAGCGAATTTTTGGAGCCCCCTGGACACGTCATTTCCCTTTTCTGGCCCCTTGCCCCATCTCTAAAAAGGGGTGGGGCACAGTCTGCACTATATGCCCTCCAAAGGCCCTGCCCAGGCAGTTGAGACCCTTTGTGCGGTAGCCTGCGATGGCGCAATTGAGGGTCGGTTCTCCCTGGTGACGGCGTGGTGAAGAGCGCCGCAAGGGGCGCTGTTGGAGCCATTCGCTCTTGCTTTGGGTCCTTTATTAGATTTAATATTTAGTTAAGTGTCTGCTATGTGTCGATTGGGAAAACAGTGGGTGGGGGCGGCCCCAAGACGGACTTCAGGAACCTCCCTTATTTTACCACCGATCTAGTACAACCTGCGGGCCTACTGTGTGCCTCCCCAAGGGGCCAGGAGCGTTAAGAGCAGAGACCCATTCCCAGCCTGGAGCTGACGCCCCCCCTAGAAGAGCAGTCCCTGGGCACGGAGCAGCATCTGGGGAAGAATGCCCTAGTAATAATGAGACTCCTTGGGAGGATTGAACCCACTTTCCTTACCCCCACTGCTTTCAGTCCAGCTGAGGAGGAAATGAGCATGCTTTGAGCTCCTATTTTGAGTTCTGTGCCCACCACCTCACGGGGTTTTTATCTAAGTGTCTTGGAACCAAATTGCTTTTCTGGGCAGATGTAACGATGTATTTGCAGAACGATTAATTGTTCAATTCGGTAAACTTTAACTCGGCTTCCTCTACATGCCAGAAATGAATTGGACACTGGCCACAATCTAGGTAGAGATGAGGGAACCCGGGCGTTTCACCCTACCTCTGGTCATTCGTCTCAGTTAACATGCATTTACTACTGAGTGTCCGGCCCTGACCTTTAGGGAACAGCACGATGAGAAAGTGGGGTCCTTGCCCTTGATGGAAAGAATGCGGCCCCTGCGTTTTTAATGCAAAGTGGTAAGCCGGGGGATATAGGGAGCCACCTGGTGCTGTGGGAGCCTGGAGTAGGTGTCACCTGATGCAGCCTCAGAGAGGGGCAAGGTTTCCTGGAAGACATAAAAACCCAAGTGCATTGCAACACATGGGGAGTTTGCTAGAGTAAGAACATGGGATTGAGTGTGTTCCCAGAAGAGAGAACAGAGTAAGAAAAGGTGTGGTCACAGGGCCTGTGGAAACTGAAAGCAGTTCCATAATGTGGAGCAAAGTCTGTCCAACGTTCTGTGGCGCTCCTTCCTTTCTCATCCAGAAACCCCACATCTCCGAAGTGAATTGAATTTAGTCACGGATTTAACCCAGCCTCCCCATCCTGGGATGGACTCTAACCGCCCATACAGCTGGGAGGCCCACGTGCATGGCCTTGTCCTTACACAATGCAGACCTTTGTGTGTGTGTGCCAGAAAGAGCTCCAAGGAGAACCTGGATTCTAGTTCCACCCCGGCCCCCAGTGCAGCATGGCCTTGGGTGGGCTGTGGAACCTCCCACCACCTTCCCAGGACCACAGTGAGGCTAAGCTCACAGAAGTGGAGGAACTTTGAAAATTATAACTCCCAGGTACAAATAATGAGGATTCAATCCCAGCTCGACTATTATCTGAAAAACCTTGGGCAAATTACTTAGCCTATCTGTGCCTCCACTTCCTCATCTGTAAAATGGGGCTCTTAACAATGGGTCTAAGGAGTAATGAATTGATATTTGGACAATAAGTGATTGTATAATCATCTATAATAATAAAAGGGTAATAATAATCTAGTAATAATAAAAGGGTAATAAACCGGATGTCCTTCTGGACGAAGCCGGAGGCCGGAGGGAAGCCCGGGTCCCAGCTGCCAGAGGGAAGCTGGTGCCGGCAGCCAAGAGAAGGAAGGCCTACTCTTGCATGAATTTCGTGCATCAGGCCTTTAGTAATATAATATTCACCTTCATATGCCTGCAGCATGTCTGGAAGATACAAGATCCTGTGATGGCCCCTGGGGAGGGTAACTAGGTGACTATGTATGGGAAGGGAAGGAAAATTTTTCACTATAAACCCCATTTCCTTTTAAATTATATTTTATTATATAAAGACATTCTATAACCTGTTATGAAAAACAAAGCAACTATAATAAGTACTACAAAGGCAAAGGATATGAACATTTGATCAAAGAGAAAACATAACTACTAAAAAAATACAAAGTATTTAACCTCATTAATAATCAAGAAAATGATTGGGATACCAGTGCTTGCTTATTTAATGTACAAGATTAATAGCAATTTCTACTTTTTCTATTTTTCTAAATGTACTCAAATTTTCTATTTTTAGTAATAAAAATTTGAGTTATTTAAAAAAACATAGAAAGTATGAACATTTCTGCCAATGCGGAAATCATAAAAAGCATAAAAATGAATCAACACTTGTATGAGCGGCAAAGCTCAGATCCCTAGAAGCCAATTCCTTTTGTCTTGGTTTCTGAGTTTTATTATGGGATTGTCCATAAACAGAAGGCTGTTCATGGTTTACACTATGACAATCTCCCAAGCACAAAGATACACATATACATATCTATTTATGCATATTATTGTATGTAAATTTTTTCTTCAGGTAGACTATGATTCCAGGAAAGGACTCCTTCAGAATCACTCCCTACAGAGGACTCCTATGATTCCATTGGCTGAGAAGGTCCCATTAAGTTCTCCCCAGATGGGTCTCAACCAGTAGGAATGCCCTTGATATTGAATTGCATGAAGATCTACTTCAGTGCTGCCTGCAAGACAGCAGTGTCCTAGGCTTTTTGTAGCTGGCTCCTTGGAGAATCTGAAGTGGGTCCTGCCCTTTAGACACAGCCAAAAGGACATTTTTCTGATTTAATGCAGATCAGAGTGTATCTCCTGCTTGCTCAGACCATAGCCTGGAGGGAGCTCACACAAAGCTCAGGTTGGAGCAGCACCAGAGCAACCACCCCAAATCAAATAATCATGTTAGAATGACTAAGTTAGGAGGCTGAACTTAAATCTGATAGCTTTGTTCAGCATATTTCTTTTTGTTTTGTTTTCATAATATCATAAGTTTTACTGAACAAAAAGGTCGAACATAGCAGAGCCTAAATTTATGAAGCGAAAGCACTCTGAAACCTGAACTTTGCTAAATAATCTGTATGAAAGCAATTCTATGGAAAACAATATACAAGCAAGAAAAGTAATACAAGTTTCATCTGAACTAACAGTTTAATCAAATGACAAATTTGGTTGTCGATTTATTAAGATGTAGCCCTTCTCTATTTCAATTCAGTAGGACTCTATAGACTCTCTTCTCTGGTACTGAAATCCTCGTGGCGTCTATTTCATAGGTACCTTCATTCCAGGCTGCACTCTGACTTTCAGGGGCCCTGGTCACTTTTACCTTGGGTGGCCCCTTCTTCGATTAAAAATTACATTTTACTGCCCAGCTGACGTGGCTCAGTGATTGAACGTTGACCTATGAACCAGGAGGGCACATGCCCAGGTTGAAGACTTGATTCCCAGTGCGGGGCGTGCAGGAGGCAGACAATCAATGATTCTCTCTCATCATTGATGTTTCTCTCTCTCCCTCTCTGATATCAATACAAATATATTTTTTAAAGTTACATGTTATTATTGCATTAGTACAAATAAGAATATAATCCAGATCTGATTCATTATTACATTTATTGTTTCTTCTGTTAATTTTTTAAAAGTTAAAATTAAAGTATTTTCATAAACCCCTAAAAGTACCCTGGGCTCAAGGCCCTGTGTCTGGTCGGCCCTGATTCATTCTATTAACAGTGAGGGCTACTGATTTTCCATTTACAGAGATGTCACGTTTCCTTTTTATATAAGTGTATTCAAGTAAACAAAACAAGTCCATTAAACAATATTGTAGTAGTCAGCTCAAGCCACCACAGCAAAATGCCATCGACTGGGTGATTTAAATAATAGAAAGTTATCTTCTTACCGTTGTAGAGGCTGGAACGCTGAGATCAGGGTACCAGCATAGTGTTCTGGGGCGGTCTCTCTTCCTGGCTTGCAGACGCCCTTGGCCTCTTCACTTTGTGTCCTCACACGGAGAGTGTATCTGTGGGTCTTGATCTTCCTCTTCATATAAAGCCAAATCCTATTGGATCAGGGTCCCACCCTTATGACCTCAGTTAAACTTAATTACCTCCTAAAAGCTCTCTCTCCAGATACAAGCTGCAGATTAGGGCTTCAACATATGAATTTTGGGGGACACAATTCAGTCCAATACAAATATGAAAGAACATATAGTATAGGGGTGTGTGAAATAAAGCAAATATGAAAGCCATTCATTTTACAGATGACTGAGGTCTAGGAATAGAAAGCCTCAAGGAGCCAGGATTGGAATTCCTACTCATTCTGGGTCCTTCAGGTCACCTGGGCTCCTCCAGCACCCTCCCAGGAAGGGGATGAGCCATCCCTGCCCCATGGCCTTTGACCTGCCCAGAGAGTCAGGACTTGGCCC